TTATATATTTTATTATTAGGACTTTAATATCAATTAAAGTTAGAGTTCTATATGATATTTACTCATGTTTATAAATATGGAGTTTAGAGAAAGCATTGTACACAACTCATATTGAGATAATAATACAATTCTCCCCTTTATTCTTATATCTCTTATTATTCTTGTTCCTATTATTGCTTCGTTTCATTTATTTCATAACATTTAGTTCATTTTATTGTAATTTTAGTGTATTAAAGTATAATAAATTTTATGTTATTCAAAATTTCAATCTCAAGTAAATTAATTATATATATATATTGAAATTTTAAGTTAAATTATATTTGAATTATTAGTTAATTGTTACATAAAACATAAATTAAATTTATAAATATTTAAATTAATTTTATATAATCAAATAAAATCATGTTCATTAAATAAATTATTTAATGAAATTAATTAAGATTTATAATATAAGGATTATAATTATTATAGAAAATAAATTTATTGATTTAATTATCATAACTAACAATTTATTTTAACTTTTAAAAAATAATCATATTAATTATCATAGTTTATTATAAATTCAAAATCTTAAACCTTCATCAATTGTAACTTATAAGTCAGATAAATATCAGATAAATTCAATAACAAGTCATATTATTTTGCAAGTTGAGTCAATTACATGCCAGGTTCATAACATGCCCGGTTGATAACAGGTCGGATAATACTAGTCATTTATCAGGTTAATCTCGGGTTCTGGTTTATATCAGTCGGATGCAAGTCGGTTCAGTTATCATATTATCGGTTTAATTTGGATTCGGGTCGTTCTCAGATCGGATGCAGGTCTGATTCAGATCCACAATTTCTAGGTTCAACTCGGGTTCAAGTCAACACTAGTTTGAACTCGAATCGATTTTGAATCATTTCCACCTCAAGTTTAAAATAGTTTTGATTCAAACTGATTTCAATCAGTTTTTTAGGTCGAGTTAGCTTTTTACATCCCTAACTGAAGTAGATTGATTCGTATGCTATAGCATACATGCTAAGTCTATGTTAGCATGCTTTAATGACGTGGGCATAATTTAACTAAATGCAACATCAAACATATTAATCCAACATCACACCACACACCATAAGTCCAACAAAAAATAATGTCCGAAGTCCTTTGACAAGATATTAATTCAAAGTAAGATTGAATTTTGAATAGATCTAAATTGTCACATTCATTGGTAATCGAAATTGAAATCTTTAAAAATAATAATCATCCTTTTAATTATTGAGACAACTTGATTTATGTCTATATTGTCAAATGGGTTTTTGAAATTATTTTCACTTGAACACTTAACCTTGTTTGATCACCACAGTTGTTCGCTTTTCCAATCCAATAAGCCTTTTGTTATCGATTAGGCCTGTAAACGAACCGAACGCACACGAACGGAGGTATGTTCATGTTCGTTCATTTAATAAATAGACGAACATAAACGAACAAATTTTTTTGTTCATGTTCGTTTATTAAGGAATATAATTTGTTCATGTTCGTTCATTTAATAAATAAACGAACATAAACGAACACGAACATAAACGAAACGAACATAAATGAACACGAACATAAACGAACATAAACGTTGGAGACCCTACCTTCCATTGTTCTTTCATGAAAAATAGTCGACAATGCAAATCAACCAAATCTACAGTGATAAATAGCGTAAGAGTTGATTAGCAGTGATGAAATGTTTGAAGATATCAAATATTTCGATCGATCTTTTAAAGATATTAAATGATTCACACAACTTTAATTTAACGCTATAACATTTATCTTAGTGGTCCATGATTACATATGAACAATCATTTTCTCCTATTACACTCTTTTTCAGAAATTGCATAGAAACCTTTGTTTTGTTTTCTGGCAAATTCTATATATTTTTCTCTTTACTGATGCTCGTATACTTCCGATTGTTACCTTTATATTCCCATCTATTTCTAGAAAGAAGTATGATGTTTTCTTGAGTTTTAGATGTGAAGATACCTGCAATAACTTTACATATCAACTATTAAGCCAAATAAAACAGAGAAAGAGATGAAAACAAACATGTAAAACTTCATATTGCACTATAATATAACTTGTTTTGAAGCTTTCAGCGATCGTCTCCACTCTCTAGTGAACACTAGGGTTTGGGAAAAAAATGGGGAAATGAATATAGGTGCGAGGTGCCTCACAGGTTAATATATTGGATTTAATCTCCAAATAAAATTGGATTAATTATGGAGTTGGTCATCAGAATATCATATTAATTAATATTTTTAAGATACTTACAAATTGGTCACCTAAATTGATTTAAGAAGGTTGAGTTAAACATAAATGAATGAACATAAACGAACATAATCGAACGAACATAAACGAACATAACCGAACGAACATAACCGAACGTTCACGAATGTAAATGAACGAACGAGACCGATGTTCATGTTCGTTCATTTAATTAAACGAACAAAAAATCTTGTTCATGTTCGTTCATTTATTAAATAAACGCACATAAACGAACTTCCCGCCGCACGGTTCATGAACGGTTCGGTGAACGTTCAGTTCATTTACAGGCCTATTATCGATACACATTTTACTGTGTAGTGATAAAAGGTTTGTATGCAAAACACATAGTTTATTTGTTTGATTCTTATATACTGAATTTTAGTTGACCAATCAAATTACTCCTAAGGGTTTGTTTGTTTCCCTGTAATTGGTTTTCCGGAAAATGTTTTCCTTATTTTTCAGTGTTTGGTTGACTGAAAACTGATGGTTAATGTAATTCATTTTCCTGATCAACCAAAATTTTCTTTGTATTTTCTGAAAAATGACTTACCATCTGATTTTCTGTAAGTCATTTTACGAACTTTTCACCTCAAAGCATAAACACTTAAAACATTATTATTTTATATACGTAATATTAATATATTATTTTGGTATCATTTTAATAAAAAATTAATTATTAAATTATAGTTATTGATAATTTTAATAATATAATATTATATTTTATTGTTATAATTATATTATTATAATATATAATATTATACTTTTATTTTAATAATATATAATAAATTATTAAAAAAATTAATATTATTTATTAATTTCATAAAAATAATATTATTGAATTGTTGAATATTTAATATATACTCTTTAAAATATAATATATTATTTTTATTTTAATATTATTATTATTTTAATAAATAATTAATAATATATTATTCTCATTTTAATAAATAATTAATATAATTATTATTAATTTTATTTTAGTAAAATGTAATACTCGTAATATTTTTATTTATAAGATTATAGATATAATATTGTAATAGCGATATTGACATAACTAATATTAAATAAATTATTCTAATATTTTAAAAGTAATATTATTATTTTGTTAATAAATAATATTATTTATTGTATTCGGTGTTTATAATATTTTTTTTAAAAAATTACCAACAAGTGCAAAATGAATTACACAATATTATTCAAATACCGTAAAATAATTTTCAAAAAATATTTTCCAAAAAATATAATTCATTTTGCAGAATTCATTTTACGAAATTTATTTCCGTAAAACAAACAGACCCTAAATTCCCATTTGAAAAAAAACCCGAATTGGATAAGTTCTAAATAGTGTACCCCAGCATTATGTGAAGCAAGTGCCACGTCGTTCGAATAACTGGTTAACATAAAAGTGATCAAGATCAACGGTGCACAAATGATCATCATAGACGGACCCATCAATGGGCCTAATTAAAGCCTAGTAGTTAATATTAATCTTTGTAATTATTAGGGTATAGACGGATCAATCTTAATTCTGGTATTTCGAAGACAATAGATTTATAGGAGGAACTGAGAGTTCACAAAACTAAGGTTACTTGGCATAAAATTATCTGGTTTCCACTCCATATTTCTAAGCTCGGTATTATTTCATGGATGACTAATCTTGACAGACTTCCTACACGGGATAGACTTACTAGAATGGGATTATTTCTAATGAGTTATGTATCTTATGTAATGAGTCTCTCGAAACTAGAAACCATCTGTTTGTGCACTGCTCATATGCTTCTTCATTGTGAATTCTATTTTGATTCTTTCTTCTTTGAGTAACATGCACAACACTTGAGAAACAAGGATTAACTGGGCTGCACTGGAATGGAAGGGTAAATCTTCTTATTACCATATTGAAATTAGCATGGACGATTTTTATTATTCGATTTGATAAGAAAGGAACAGAAAAATTCAGAAGAGAGTAAAGATCGACTGATCAAATTCTTAAGATCATAAAAGACTTCGTTCGAATCAAAATTAGTGACAGAAATCTTAATAAAATTGATAGAGTTAATATTAATCTTAATAATTATTGGAGTATAGATTAACATTTTTTGTTGTTGTAAATAGAGTTTATACTCCCATTTGAGACTGTTGTACTTCTTCTTTGGATAATACCAAAATAAATGCTGCTTATTAAAAAAAAAGGATGACAAAACATGATGGACACGTGTACGTTCCTGATTCCATATCAAATACCACCGATATCCACCCACTCTCTCACAAGATTCTTCCCTTCCCCTACCCTTCCAGTCTTTTATCCCATCTCCTTCATCTTTCCACTTTCACCATTTTATTCGCATTAGGGTTCTGCTTTTAAATCTTCACATATTCAAAACAAAACAAAAGGGGGGGGGGAATAGGGTTTTATTCTCACGATTTTTTTTGGGGAGGGGGGGGGGGGTTCGAAGAGCATAATACAATAATATGCCCCCGTTTATTCTGGGATCGGTTTTGCTCCGGCTGATCCCTTCTTTAACTCCTTTTCATACTGGTTTATGTTCCCATTGCTTGAAACATCTCGAAAAGAGTGATCGGCGTGGTAATCTCAGTTAACATTTCCCACATCCAAATCATTTTGAATTCTCTATCTTCTCGCCTTTCTCTTTTCTGTCTTCCTTCAGAGTCTCTTGTTTCTTTTGTGGTGGTAATCGTCCGATCCGGTAAAAAAGAACTTAGGTTTTCGATCTTGAATTGGAGTTGCTTTTCTCAGAGGTTTCTTAAGATTTTTGAATTTGATTGCACTTTCAGAAGCTTTCTAAATAAAGGTATATCCTTATCCGCTTAGCACGTGCTAAACGCACGTGTGGTGAAATGGTATCTAGCTGATATCTGGTTCAAAGTTTGATCATTGTGTTTGTTTTATATATTTACGATACGATGGATATGTGATGGATTTTTTAAATCCCTACTCGTCAAAGGATTAATCATAAATAACGTTCTTGAGAAATTTTAATTTGTATTTACTTATTTGTTTACAGTGTTTCAGATCTGAGTTCATCTTAATTATATTATGAAAACATTTAGCTGGATTCTTAGTTTTGTTAATAAATCTAATGGGATCCGATTCAGGTTTTGGTTTTCTCATGCACTATCTGTTGAAATTATAGTTTAGAAAGTTTAAAAGTGTGTCAATGGTTGTTTGTTCTTTGATTGAAGCTAGGACTTGTTTTATTTGTTGGTATTGGAAATGGATATGGGATCTCGAGAGGAAGGTGATATCAGTGACAGGAAGCAGGCTGAGGTTTCTACTTAGTTGAATGGATGTGTTAACGGATCGATTCACGACCATACGAACAGGAGTAATGTGAAGGCATGCCTGAACAGGGACATCAAAGCAAACCCATGAGAAAGAGTTTAGACAAGTCTGCATCATTTCCTTCTCTGTGCCTGCTGAAGATGATGAAATTGTAACTGCATTGCAGCGAATGTTCTCAGAGGATTCCGTGCAGTCTTACTCCCGCACAATTTTGTTGCCCGTGAGTTAGGTTTGTTACACATTGAGTTTAAGTAGATCCATTGTTGTTTCGTTTCCTGAATCTGTGCTGTCATTCACCCTTTAACAGGCTCCCTTGAAGCTAGTTTCTGCCCTTAAAGGTAGCCGTGAGAAACAGGGATCGACACCAAAGAAGCTAACCGTGAAATGGGCACCTGACGTCTACGATCCTCCACCAACGTCTGTATTGCATACAGTTGGAAACAGAAAGCAGCAGAAATCAAAGAAGAAGAAGAATGACAAGAAGAAAAATGGAAAGAAAGGGCAGAAAGGCAACAATGCAGGACGAGGTAGTGGTGGTGGTAAAGACAACAGCGCTGTGGGGGTGGTGGGAGTTCCGATAGGAGTTATAAACCTCAGCCGGAGGTTCATCAGGATAGATTATCCAACTCCTTAATCAACCTTGATGGTTTCAACGTTGGCAGTCCCAACCCTTACTGTGGGAGCAGTTTTCTGAGAAACTCACCAACCAACATGCACTACTCTGTGGCGGAGGCACTGAGTATATCTCCCTTTGCTTTTTGCAGTCCTTGTAGATAAATAAAGCTCTTTTCAGCTTTCTCTATCATGGTCATCGGAACAATTTACTTGAATGCAATTGTTTAAGGGTTTGTGATAATCGTATGGGTTTGAAAGTTTTGTTAGCCATCAAGACTGCTCTGTAAATATTACCAGTACCTCTTTAATGAGAAGACCTGAAACATATAATTCTGCAAACTGATTGTTCATTATTCGCAACAAATCTATGCTTCCAGAATAGAACCACTTGAGAAATTGACGTTGATTCCTAGTTTATTCCTTCCATCATGCTTCCCTTGTGTGGAAGAACATATGGAGGTAATGCAGATTTTATTTGCAGTTCGAATTATGCAAGTACTGTTAAACATACTGAACGAACAAAGGCATCTGAGCAGGCCGCGCGTCTTTTATGCTGTATATTCAGCATTTACCTTGACATAGTCATAATTTAAGTCACACCCCCATGCTGCACCGTATCCGAGTCCATTCCCTGTTGCAGTTCAATACAAACATTAAAATCCTATGAGGGTAAAGATGAATACAGGATTAAGGGCATGATCTGAGTCAAACTCGGAGGAACTTACCAAGAGAAATTTTAATTTCCACCGTTCCATGTGTCTCACCAGCCTTAATGAGATAGTTGCTGGCTGCAAGCCTGAAATTATATGGGGAAACTACAGATTAGGTATGATAAAGTTTTGAATTTATTTACAAGGTCACTTCCTAACCCCACTAAATAACGTGTATTTTCTCCTTGATGACTAGCTAAGTGCAAAATGTGCATACGATTTAACAACTGAACTCAAAATGTATCGTCTGACTTCTTTCTAGCATGTCATCTTATGTTGTTTAGCAGGCCCGTCCCTCATGGGCAAAAGGGGCACTCGCCCAGCCCCAACTTGCTCAGGAACTAAAACTATAAATTCATATATAATTAAAAAGGATAAATTATTTATTTAAGCACTCACTTATTATTTTATTTCTGTTTTGGCCATCCAATTATTATTTATCTTCAAAATCATACTTAACGTTACATTTTGTTTTTTTTTTGTTACTCATCATTAAAAAAATTAATAGCGATACTAAAGAACATTTTTAAATTATTTTTTCACTTAATTATTCTTTAATTCATTTTTTGTAATACTTGTTATTAGGGGCCTAATTTCTATATTCGCCCCAAACCACTAAAATCTCAAAACGGGCATTGGAAGGAGAGGTTGACAGCAAGCAAGAGAAAACTTTACCGGTCAAATGGAACTGGTTTTCCACCAAACATGAGCATGATATCTCCAAGAAATATCTGGAGATTTTTTGGGTCAAAAGAAATCCCTGCACAGCCAGCAGCAGTAGCCATTCGCCCCCAGTTCGGGTCTCTCCCATATACGGCGGCCTGACATAATTTATGTTAGGCAATGCTATGATTAACTGTTGGATTTTATGTTAAAATTTCATACCTTAACAAGTGAAGAAGCAGCCACAGAACGAGCAATCTTTTCTGCTTCATCGTTTCCTTTGGCACCTCTTACCGTGACCTGCATCTCTAGGTTAGCTTTGGCTAAGACCATTCAAGGACCCCATATAAGGGGAAAACACAAATATACCACCCAGGAGAATTTGTTGCCTAAATTTAAATGCATTACTCTATATTATCAGAACAAGAAATTAGTTGAAGTGGCTTAGCATCAGGGTTCATTCAGTAAGAAAGATAATTCCGTTGGTCCAAAAATAGAGGGAATAAAGAACTGAAGAGTGCAGACCTCAATTAAACACGTTGATCCTTCACCATCCCAAGCTATTGATTTAGCAAGACCTTGCATTACCTGAAAAGAGATGTGTTAAATTAAAACCTCAAGCAACTCATTTCAAACACTTGCTAAGATCAAAAGACTAACACAAGCGACATCATTCCAAAGAAATGCAACCAAAACTCTTTAGTTTGTTGTATGGATAAATCGGGAGGTTTGCACAAGGGATACTATTTGTTTATTCAACATTTAACAAATCTAATTTAAACGGGATAGGATGAATGAAAAGCTCGAATGCAACCAACTTACAGCATCAAGACCTGCTTGAAGTAGCACAGCATCGTAAGTGTTCATCGAAGTGATGCAATTTGATCCAGATAACCCACTGGCAAAAGCAATGACAGCATCATTGGTACTGGTACCTCCATCAACCTACAGAAAAAAGAATAAAAGAACCTTGTTAAAAACAAGTGGAAACAGATTAAGCCAAGCCATGGAAGAAAAGGAGATCATTAAACTAAGATGTTACCTAGTTGAAATAAGTTACAGGGGGGATTAAAGAAATGAAATTACATACAGTGATTTGGTTGAAACTGCGGCTTACAGCAACCTTAACCATCTTTCTCCAGATATTACTTTCAACAAACGCGTCAGTTGTTATTACCTGGAAGACTTATCAGCCTTGAGAATAGAATTGGAGTTACATCCTATAGAAAAGCTAGAAACACTTGAAAGACTTACACCGAGCGTCGTTGCCATGTTAGGGTGGATCATCCCAGAACCTTTTGCCATTCCCCCAATTCTTATAGTCGTCCCTCCAACCTTAGAAAATAATTAGTTATACATGATCAGATGCATTTAAAGAAAGACTAGATTCATAAGAAACCTTCAAGGAATGCTTCATATCATACCCATTTGTGGTTCACCAGCATTTATTTATTTATTTATTATAAAAGCAATGCTATCACGTGTTAGTGAGAGAAGCTCTAGCTTCTCTCTAACCTAGGTGTTTTTCAAATTTCAAATATCCACGACCCAGGCGTTGTTGAAATTTTTTCTCCCCTCCGACATCTACCCATTGTCCGCCGCCGTCGTCCGCCACCCGCCGCAGCCGTTAGACACCGCGTCGGCCGTCACGTCCGGTGGCTGTTGACCATCAAAACTTCCAGGTTTGTTCGTCTCGATGCCACCATCCCGGATCTAGGCAGCGTTACGTCACGGTGACCCGTAAACTCAGTGGATCTTGGACGAGGCCCTTAGACTATCAGCTGTTGGTGACGCAAATTCTTCTCTGACGAAGATCTTTACGCCTTGTTTTTCAATTCACGCCAGCGTCTCTTCGCCAATACTTCTTCTTTCCACTGGGCTTGCCGTATTCTCGCGAACAAAACAAGTTTTTCCTACTATCCAGACCCGTGGCCTTTTTTTGTGTTTTAGTTTTTGACTGGATATCTACAGAGTTCATCTGTCTTCAGGTTCAAGATTTACCTGTTCATCACCTCCACCCTTCTTTTTTCGCCGGCTGTCACAGCCTCCATGGCCGGGCGCAACCAAGATAGTTCCGTCTAGTCTCTGGGTTGTTTAACTTCAACAGTTATTCTTCATGCCGGGTGCTAGAATTATCCCTTCTGTCCAGCAGAGATCGAAGGGCCAAACTCCTTCATCCTCTGCAGCCGCGATTTCTCCGCCATCTCTCCCTTCTCATCATGACGAGTCGTACTATCTTCATTATGGGTCTGCCTGGAGATGTCAAAGAGAGAGAACTGCAGAATCTTCTAAGATGGCTTTCAAGTTTTGAAGATTCTCATTTGAGCTATAAGGGAGAAAAGCCTAAGGGTTTCACTCTCTTCTCAAATGCAGAATTTGCAGTTGCTGCCAAGGATGCTCTTCAGAAAATGGTTTTTGATTCTAAGTTGAAGTCCCTTTTACACATTGAGATGGCAAGGAAGAATCTTGTTGTTAAAAGAGATATAATTTCTAATTCTGATGCTCCTGTTCCTCCAGTACTGCCATTGCCAAATCCAGCTTCTCTAGCATCTCCAAGTATTCACGTGCCTGTTAAAACTGGGTGTTGCGACGAAAAGTATGCAGTTAATGGTGTCAACGACGGATCCAGGGAATTTACCACAAAGGAGTGCAATGGTGATAAGTCTGGATGTTACACGTTATTTGTTGAAAACTTACCAGAGAAGATCCATTGGAAGAGGTTTGGATCGTTATTTTGTTCACATGGTCGGGTTCTTGATGCTTTTATTCCAAATAAAAGAAATGCAAAAGGAGTTCGCTTTGGTTTCATTCGCTTCGCTGCAATCGAAGAAGCAAGGAGAGCGACCTCAAAAATGAATGGCTCTTATATCGATGGCAGCAAAATTAGTGTTTCTTTAGCTAAATTCAAACCTCGTCATTCCTATTGGAGAAAGTCTTCCAAAGGTGTTCTCCACAAGTCCGGGATGGAATATGATTCGAGGAAGAATCATTATAAAGTTGAAGGTATTATTGATAAAGAAAAACTTCAGGTGTTGAGTAATTGTCTAGTGGGGTGGTGTAAAAACTTCATCAAAATCAGTCATCTCGCTAGACAAATGCATGCGAAGGGCCTCACTGGCTTCTCCTTAATGAGAGCCGCTAGAAATGCGGTATTATTGATTTTCGAAGACTCTGCTTCATTGAGAAGTGTGAAGAACGTTAAATCAGAGACTCTCGCAGAGTGGTTCTCCATAGTGGAAGCTTGGTCAGAGAGTCTGGTATTGGAGTGTCGCCAAGTATGGTTAGTATGCGAGGGTGTCCCGTTTCATGCATGGAATTGGGATACCTTCAAGAACATTGCTGATAGTTGGGGTCAATTACTAGCAATCGATGAAAGCTGTCAGTCACCATCATCCTTTGATCGGGCAAAAATTCAAGTCCTCGCAAAGGCTGGTGCGAGAATTGATGCGACTTTGGAATTGAAAGTTGATGACAACTACTTCAAGATCATGGTGCATGAGATAGAGCCTTCATTCGAGCTGAACTCTTGGGCTCCTGAAGAAGACGAATCTCATTAGATATCGTCTTTCTATTTGTGGTTTGATTTAGTTTATATGGTTGCAGGTGTTGCTTTTCTTTTGTATTATGTTATGTTGCGTTGTTTAAATCCTATTGTTGGAGGTGTAATTAGTAACAAGGTGATTGACTGTGATTTTGGTTGAGGTTA